CGCCGTGAAACCACCTCAGAGCCACCGGCCAGCCTGCGCCCAAGCCCACAACCACCCCCGCTCCTCCCCCCCTTTTTTTTTTGTATAAACTCGCAGTGCGTCTCTGACCAAAACTACCGAATTTCAGTGAAAGGCACGCCCAGGGCCTCTACAGAGTGGCGTTCCTACAACGCCCCGGTGCCAGGCCTGTTGGGAAACCAGGCGCACACGTCTCCGACCAGCCCTACAGCTACGTCAAACATTGCACAATTCGCCCATGAATATTCACTTGATTTTTTTTTTCCCTTCAAAGAGCAGGTGGTTTTAGCCGTGCTCAAACCTCATATTTGCTTTTCACGGGCATTTGCGTAATCAAGTTACATTGGCACGAGCGTTTGTACGAACCAGATTTCAAAATCTGACACTAAAGTATTTGTAAAGATCGATTTTGGTCCTTTGTCGAACCCTGCCATGAGTTGGTTACTGGATGCATCCCATAAAGCTGCTTGATCTAAACCCATCTCTGGAAGAGCCAATCTCTAGGACATTAAAACCAAACAAAACTCAAGGACATTTGCACAGACGGGTTCCTACATGGACAGCGAGCGCAGAGCAAGCTCGCACACAAGCTTCCATGTCGGTCTCATAAATACTACAGAAACATTTGCAGTTTTCTGGTGGAGATACATTACAACTTCCAGGAAAGATCAGCTGCTTTTTGTGATTATTCAGTAAATGAGATTTTTTTCTTTTAAACCCTCAAGTCCAACAGATTTTAACCCTTGTGTCTCCTGATGGGCACTCGGGGTAGGAGTGTGCTATGGGGGTGAAGGGCAGAGAGACAGAAAGCCAAGGTGGCCCCCACGGGTGAGGTGTCCCTTGCTGAGGACAGGGACATTGCCTCTCCAGGCCACCTCTCTCCTGCAGCATGGTGTCCCCAGTTCCCCAGGCACAGCTGTGCTCTGACCTCGCTGCTGGGGGTCACAGCACAGAAGGGGAGCGAGTGCTGCCATGAGGAGCACTAATGAATCCTTTCTGACGCGCTGCCAGAGCTGGGGGTGACACCCCGACCCCCATGGTCCATCTGCTGCACCAAGGGTAAGTGCAGGACCAGTGTCAGCTCTGAGGGGGAGGACTGGACCAAACACTTCCCCAGATCCCTTCCTTCCACCACACACTGTGGCTTAAGTGGAGGAGTAACTCTGAGATGTTCAGGATTCTTCTGTCTGCTGAAGTCAACCAGGGACAGCCAGGAGTGTGGCACCAGGACAGACCCCTGCCATCTGCTGGGGATTATCTCCAAGGAATAGACACAGGACAGGCCTACAAAGGGAGCTGGTGCAGAAAGGATGGATCTGGAATCATTATGTCTAATACAGAATACAAAGGGATAGTTTAACTATGGTAAGTATGGTAGTATGGTATGGTATGGCAGTACCACCAAAGTGTCCCCAGAGCTTGAGCCAAGATTAGGTTTTGTAGACTTGATCCCTATGGCCAAACGTCTGTGACCTCTGGGCATCCCTGCAGCACCAGGACAGTCCTGGACAATTCTCCCTCTCCAGCTCAGTGCTTGAGCCTCTGGTACAGCCATTCTCCTCCAGTCCAGCAGACCTTCCAGAGAGCACCAACACTGGTCTCCCTGCTCTCCTCACTCTTGCTTAAGTGACTAACCTGAGATGGTCAGCTGTTCTGTAAGCAGTTTTTGTTCTGTGCAATAGAAAAGGCTGAATGTGCCTTCTACAGTGGGAGTTTCTAGAAAGGTCAGTTGTTTCAAGCATGATCTGACAAGAGCTACAGAAAAAAAGAACCTGGAGTTGTTTCAATGCATGCATCAGAACTTTGGGTTCATGGCTTAACACCTGAAGAAGTTAATATAAGTGACACAAAATATGGTGATAATTTGCACAGGGTTTGGTCACTTTTTGCTTGTGTAAACAGTGGGATTCACATAAAAGAACTGGAACCTCGTTCAGCTTGGCAATATTTAATGTCTCCTGTGCTAGAGGAGCCATGCTTGTCTCACACTAAAAATTCAGAGGGCTGAGCTCACATAAAAGGTCTTTCTTGACAAAAATCTTCCTTTAAAAGGTCTTTATATTCTCAAATGAGGTCATGTTCTAGGAGTCTAATGCTCTCCCATTTTGAATTGAACTAACCTTGAGGCAAACCAAGGATTGTGTATGACTTTTTAAAGCTTTAAACACGGCCTTTCAGTATGACTATATTCACTGCAGCAGGCCAGGATGCCATTCTCACGAGCAGCATATTTGCTTTTGCAGCAAATTTCACATAAACCAGGGAAAAACACAACCCCCAAACCAATGAAGATCTCCATATAACTCATCTGAAAGGAATGCTGGAGGTTTGCTACTTCTTCTTACCTTCACACTCAGCATCTATTCCAAAACACAGTCCAGGAACACAAGAACAAATGAAGTCTGCTTTCCTATAGATTTATGCTTGTGATTAATTACTCTGTGTCTAAGGTATGAGCTCTAATTGAAGCTGGTCTCATGCCTGGAAACTTATCTCTCCCTTATCTGGATTAATGGTTATCAGTACAGAATGCTGTTTTCTTCTGGTATCTCCACACTTGGAAACATTCTAAAAATGTAGTGGCTGTGAGATCTGATGAATTTGATTGAAATGAATGAGCTGTTCAAAAGCTGAAGGGCAGAATGATCCTGTTATGCCACCCTTCCATAGGGGAGTGAGAAAGGCAGAGCACACTGCACCAAACCCTGGTTGGTTTTACCACCTCTTCTTGGTGTAAAGCCTCTGTGAGCAAACTATTCCTACACCTACTCAAGTTTATTAGAAAGGCCATGACACAAGATGGTTATTACAAAACCTAACAACACCTTACTGAATATTTCTCAAATAGGAAATTAGCCATTGTTCTCTTTTGTCAAAAGAATCACAATTTACAAGAAAAAGCACTTTCCCCCTATACCCTTCAAACAAAGCAGAGGCAAAAAAGCAAATGATGGTACCAAGCTTCAATTTAAATAATTAACCATTCAACAATTTTGTCTTATACTTCAGTCAGTTCACTGGACACAGAATAATCCAAACACCCAGTCCTTTTCATGTCTAGCCTTTTTCTCAGTAATGATTTCAAACACAAACAAGTGAATTTGTTACAAGCACTGGGGTTTTTTTCTTTTACATGTTAAACTCTTTTGAGTTTAGAGTTTTTTATCAACATACCCACTCTTCCCTTTGGAAGTCCTGTTTTGTCAGCTTGCACAACTCCAGGCTGAAGTTACTTTTTCTTGATTTCCTCTCCAAATCTTGTCTGTGAATGGAACATGAAAAATAGTATAAACTGTTTCCTTTGCTGCAGCATTTTACTATTGCAGTACATCCTTGCACTTCCCACTCCATGGGGACTTCCAAACACAGCACACATGGGGACACAATTTCTGTTTAATTCTGGTTTTGCAAGCAGTCATGTAATCACCTGTACCTTCAATTACTCTTCCCTAAAAAGATGCCAGTTGAAATTACTCAAATGTTTCCCTAGCAATGCAAAGCAGCTGCTGGCATTAGGTTTTCCTGTTGACAGGTTTGTCATGCATGGACATTTACCACAATAATTCTTCAGGTCATAAACCACTCCTTTTGGGGGAATGTTGGCTAAGCAAATGAATGATTATTGGTTTTTTTAAGAACTGCCATACAAACTTAAGAAAATCATGTCAAGTAATGAAATTTTTGAATTTTTCACTAGTTTTTTTTCAAAACAAAAAATTTTTTACAAACATCTAAATTGAGTCTCTTTCCTGACAAATTATTCGATAGGATTTCACCCCTCCATGAAAATTCCCTGGGAAAAAATTAGGAAAACTTATCTTAACTATCAACTTTGCAAGAGACACCAAAAGAAGTTCAGACAATCCTTGCAAAACCTTGTATTTAATAAGCCAGATTGACAAAAATGTGCATGTTCCCAAGATGTTTATTTCATTTCTTTGAAACTTGGTGGCTTTGTACTCTTAGTTTTAGTCAGAGTGTGAAATAACACTCATTTAAGAACTGATGAGCAAACAAAATTTGTCATTATCAGTCATGGGGTTTTTTTTTTGCATATGGGACTACATCCCAGGCTTGAAACACAAGCATATTTTCACTTTGAACAAAAGTAATTTTTGAAAGCATTTTTATTTCTCTTATCATGGATGTCAGAAAGCAAATGTCTTGGGTTTTTTTCATTCTAGCTTTTGACAGTTCATTTACCTATAAGGGAATATGGAATAAGCTGCAAGACTGTAAAGCAGTCACACAAATCAATATTCTGAGACACAAAAAAATCCATAATGGTCTGATAATTACAATATTAAACTATACTCTCAGTCAATTTACAATAATGCCTTTTAAAATGCTTACTAAAGTAGCCCAGACATACCCAAGACTTCAAAAAAGTCTAAGGACAGCTTTGAGAACAGGTAATTCCTGGTGAGTCTGAAGGCTCAGCTCTGTGTGAATCCCTCACCTGCTCCAGGCTGAAACCCTTCACTGCTGTGCCTCCAAGGCAGTCTGCTCAGGAAAGGTGCTTTTTTAATTCAAACACTGATTCTCTCTTCACTGACCAAATTTGTTCTTTAGGCAAATACAGCTCTGGTTGTAGAGACAGGTGATGTTTTTTGCTAGGCAAACTTCCAGAGCTGCACAGAGAGAGGGGGTTAAAAGAAACTAAAAAACACCACAGGAACAGAGAAGCAATAAGCAGACAAGCCATTGTTACAGCAGCCTGGATCCTTGCACTTCTTGTGCCTGATCTCTGATTTTCTGGCAAGGGAAAATGAGAAATAAAACCCCAGGCACAGAAGAAGGGCACAGATACTCAGTGCTACCTGCAAAGGAAGCAGATTGGGTATGAGCTGTGTGCCTGACCGTGCTTGCTGTGCTGCAGCTCCACAGCCCAGTGCCATCAGCACACCAACGGCCCTGTCTGACAGGGCACTGATGCTGTGCAAGCTCCACAACTCTTCCCTAGGAGCACGAGAGAAAAAAGGCTGCTGGGAGTGGCAGCAAAATCTGTCAAAAGCCTTTCCTAATTACAGAAGCTATGTCCTTTAAATTTCCCATTTACATGTAGAAATTAAGAAAATCCCCAGCAGCAAATATCATCTCTCACCATTTGTTGTAACAGCTCACTAAAGAAATGAGAATAGCAGTTAAAAAAACAAAGCTTCTTTTTTCTATTCTTTTTCCTATTCTTTTTTTTTTTTTTAACCAGGAGAAGTTGAATTAGAGTGAGACACATTATTAAAGCAATAGGGAGACAAGCTGATTTTACAGACTGGTCTCTGCAAAGTCAGACCAGTTGTAGGCACCCAGTTCTGCACAGTGACTGTGCAAGTTTCAGCAATACCAATTCTTATACCAGCTGAGCCAAGGTATCAGGCTTGTAAGAGCCTGATTTGACATAAGATTTGACATAAGTTTTAAGAATGTAATAAAACAGGATATACATTTCTGTATAAATGCTTAACTCCACAAATGCCTGCTTACCTAACAGCTTTCCTGTTAAGCCAAGTGGACTCTAGAAATTGTTTTAAGTAGGCACAGCTTCCCCAGTAAAGGAATGCACCCAGCTAGATGAAGTATAGAGTTATAAATACACACATGTGCACTTGACATACACAGTTTAACAGTTATGAACAAGTTATTCTGATTCCTGTCTGTAACGTGTAGACTGATGCACACTAAGGAGGTGGGGAAGAGCATTTTTAAAATATCTTAACATGAAATTGCACATTTAATGAAAATGGAGGGTATGGGGGCAGAGGGGAACACACACAGTTGCTCAAACTTGTGGGTTTTCAACACAGTTCAGAGCAGTTTTGGAGAAGTTTCCCAGAGGAACAGAAGATATTTAGTTATTCCAATCAATGCTGATGTTCCTTTTATAAAACTGAAACTGGTTCTCTGTTTTACATAAGGCATTTGCTCTCCAGTTCTGTGGTTCACCCACAGGAAAACATCAAGAAAAATTACCTGCAGATTTATAATTTCTGACAGAATTTCTGATACTACAACAAACACTGCCACATAAGCCAACTTTATTTCACTGTGAGATATGACAGTTTTTATCTGTATTTGGATCCTCCTGAATCAGCATTTATTGCTGCAATAGCTATAAGTGATCTCTCAGTTAAGGCATGGGCTTCTCTGTGGTCCAGCTGTGTCCTGCAGACTGAATGTGCAAGTGCCTATATGTTATTTCTTCCTTTAACATGAAGTTATGAATCAAAGTTTAACTACAGCAATTACAAGTTATGCCAAATTTAATACAAGGAAACATCTTCTAGTTCACTGAAGACTCACACAAAGTGCATAGTTTCAGAAGATGGAGCCAATACACATTCAACTGTTAAGTTTGCAAAATTTAGCTAAATGATATCTTTCCTCAGAGCAGGTGATTCAACAGCAGGTAAGCTCAGTGGTCTCTTTATTCTTGAAGTGATACTCAGATGTTCTAACACCCCTTTGGCACCTCCAATCCCCTGTCAGGTTTGAGAATCTGCATTGTAGGTGAGGTCACTCATGGCAAGGCAGAGCCTGTCACACACAGCAAGGTTCTCTTTTCTTCTTCAGCAACTGCCTTGGCTCACATCTACAGAAAACAACTTGTTACTGACAGATGTGTTCCCCTGGCACAGCCATGGCCCACATATTCTACAAACCAATCCATATTTCCCCCCTTCCCTACACCCTGCTAGCTTGGGGCTTTTCCCCAGTAGCAGCTTCTGATGGGAAACATTTGTTATTTTATAATGAAATCACAGGCTATACTCAAATTATCCCTTTCCCCCAAAAAAAGTCTCCTAGGAACAAGATTAGTTAGATACACTCTAAACCAAATGTGCTGGAAGAAAAGACCACCATCCCATGTTGTATTACATTTTTTGTTATTAAAAAAGCCAAGAAGAAACCCTTGGTAAGAGTGGAGCATATTAATTATGACAAGACATCATGACATACCAACCAGTGAGATTAAAAGGCCGCTAATAACACTTTTTGTAGTAATTAGTGCAAGATAGTTATCCCATATAAACAAATATTTGATGGTAGACTTCAATGATAAACAATTCACTTGATGACATTTACATATAAATACACATAAATAAAAACCTGCATCATTTAGGTTTGTAGTTAACAAAAAAGTATGGTCTGAAATGAATTAAATGTAATTGTGTCTAGCTAGATCAAAGATCTTCCTATAATGATACTCAAATATGTGGAGTATGAAAAGCATAGATGTACAATTCTCAATTTAGTAAAGTACTACTCTATAAAACAGAATCATGAAAACAGCTCTTACATTTTAATGCAAAGTATAAAATTGCATATTTACATTTACATACACTTTTCTGAACTACATCGGGTAGCTCATGGTAAAAAAACATCCCTTTTTGAAAATCTTGCAAAAAATACATCAACTGCAGATATGATCAGAAGTTACTAAGTTAGCAGCTGACATAACATCTGTAGTAAAAAATATATTTTAGGAAAATACCTGGAAAAATCTAAACACCAATAAACACTTTAAAACTATTTTTGAAGTAAAAATTGTAGCAAAACCCAGAAGAAGCTAGCAAGGATAACAAGAACTATTGCATATTGCTCTTTAAGAGCCATGTGGGGACACAAAACAGAAGCAGCAGGTGTGGTAGGAGTTTTGTCATGTAACAAAGTGGAAACTGGAGGGAACAGGAAACCAGTTATCCAACTTCTTCTCTCTTCTGTTTGTTACCATTTTTATGGGAGAAGTGTAAGAGGATAAGAGAATCCCTCTCCCTGAGGATATCCTCCATCAAAGGCTAAAACAAATTGGTAAAAGGAACCCAATTTCAAGAGCCTTTGACCCCCAACATAGAAACTTTTACCATACGTACTTACAGTTCAGTGGACAATAAATCAGATTATTACACTACAAGTTGCAGGTTAACTTTAAGAGTTAACACTATTTTGCAATATGAAGTGCTTCTTAATATATGTATCTATATAATATATAGATATTTGTAAAATACTCGTGCAGATTTGATAGAACCAACTGTGGAAATTGCTCTCTCCAGTCTTTTCTTCCCATTAACAGATCTTTACCTCCACACAAGAAGGTTCAGGATTCAACAAGGATTTCCACAATATGATCAAGGTCATTAAGATCAGATTTACAATTAGAGTTAGAAGCTGTATTTGTTGGAGAAGGAAATGTTTCAAGACTATCACAGTGTCCCATTTTTGTGTTGCTCATCATGCCAGTTAACATAGTATCAAGATCATAATAAGAATTGTCAACTTCTGAAAACAGATCTTCAACAGTATTAGGACTTTTATTCTCCAGTGTCTCAAATATTTGATCTAAAGATTTTTGAAAGTTTCCTTTATTTTCTTGTGGACTCTCCATTTCCCACACGTTGCTCTGCAGGTTTCTTGGTGTTTGCACTGCAGAAGCTGTTGACATAGTTTCTGAATTATCTTGTGCCTGGTCACTCTCAAAGTCTTTATTGAAGGTACCATAGGCTGGCCCATGCTTTCCCTCAGCTTGGTGATCCCTAGATGAACGACAGAGGATATCTGTGGAAACGAGCCGATCCAGGGATGCCTGCCCTGTGCTCTGGGTATTTATCATCTGCCAAGTCCCATCTTGGGTCATCTCCTCCTGGATCTGCCGTACCGTGTTGGCGATGAGCACCGAACGACAAAGGTTGGGTTCCACCAGCATGTGACACAGCTGAAGTTTAACCAAGGACATGTCTAGGAGTGACTGCCGCTGCAGATTGTAGGAAGGAATAGCCTTAATACCAGCCAGAGTGCCTTCAATATCTTCTTCACCATCAAAACATTTTCTCTTTAATCCTCGCACAAACATTGTGTCCTGTTATAAAACCCAAACAAATCAAAAAAAAAAATCATGTACAATATAAACAGTTCAAGAGGGAGGAGGAAAAAAATGGTACTAAAAAAGAGAATAGCGAACTTTAATATTTTATTAAAAAGAAACATCAGAATTGTCATACCATGTTCTAGAATGGCCAGTGTGGTACAACAGGGGTCAGGAACGTGTGGACCAGGTCCCAAAGGCGACATTCGGGAACCAGGGGTGAGCAGGTCCACAAGGCAT